AATCCCAGGCAGAAGGGGTGCTGGCCAGGCTGCACCAAGCCAGGGGCAGTGGAGAAGCCCCAGCCCAGGTATCCCACCATGGTGGGAAGTCCAGGGATCAGAGTTGGGCACGTACCCTCCAAGGCTTTATCCAGGTCCGCAATGAACTCCTCCAGCTCATGTGTGTCACCAAGCTTAGCTATTGGGGAGAAACACTGTCAGATCTCATGTTCCTCTCCATCCCCTCATTTGGGAGAGGAAAGACCCCTTTTCCTTGTTCCTAACTACAGCTGCTTCCAGCTGTGGCTGTTTCTGTCCTAGCCAGTCCAGAGTTGACTGGGAACATGCCAATCCTACTTCATGCATCTTCCAGGATCCCACTGGGAACCCAGGGCCCATTCCCACCTCCTAACCCTGTAGGACCCCATTGGCACTCCCCCATACAGGGCAGCCAAGCTGAGCACAGGGAAGGAAGCACTGGCAAACCCCTTTGGACAGAGCAAGGCTCACCTTTGGAGGGGTAAGTGTCAGCTGGAGTGTTGAGGTGTTCCTCACTGGAGCTGAGGCTGCTTCCCACAGATGTGCTGGCACCTGCAGGCACAAAGCATCAATCACTGGCCCCAGACACAGGCATCTGATGGACACATTGCAGGAACAGGGGCTGATTGTGTGCATGGCACAGGGTGCTGGGTCCACCCTTGCTGTTGGACAGTGCATCTGCTCTTCCCCTGCTGTCAGGAATGCTTTGAAAAAGGGAGCTGAGCTTCTCTCCCAGGTCAAAGAGCACCAGACATTGTCTGAGCACAGCCACAAGGACTCCCGGGGTTATTAGAGGGAATTGGGTCCATCTGAACTTCCAGTTATCCCAAGCCTCCCACACTCCTGCAGCACCCAACCCTGCAGAAGGAGCCCCAGCAGATGTTGACAGGTCCTGGGCTACAGATCAGTGTGTTGCTTATCCAGCCCACCAGGGATGAGTCAGAAGCTCAGTGGTTTTCCATAGTGGAACCCCAGAGCTCCTACCCTGACAGACACCATCCTCCACTAGGGCTCCTCAATCTCCAGGCCCAGTCTCACTTTCCAGCTCACTGATGTCATTCCCCAGCCCCAGACTCACTCTCCAGCTCATCGATGCCGCTGTCATATACGCTATGTCCTGCTTTTCTCTTCAGCTCTTCCAGGTGTTGCTGGTACTGACACACAGAACCTCGGTCAAAGTCCTCCATCACCTCGTCGAATTCCCTCAGCAGGTCACTGAGCTCCTCAGCCATCACTGGGGACAAGATGCAGGGTGTTGAGACACCCACCTGGCAGGCAGCCCTGGCAAAAGCCTCTCAGAAGCAGCCCCAAGCAGGTCACAGGGCAGAGCCAAACGCTGACTGCCCTCTCTGCAGGCAGCTGCCAGCCTTGCTCTGAGCACATCCAGCTCCTGGGGCAGCTCAGCCCTTCCTCCAGCTCATCCCACAGCTGAGCTGAAGCCCAAGACAGTAAGAACTGCTCCTACAAAGGCAAAGGGCTTGATAGAATCCCAGAATGGTTTGGGCTGGAAGGGGCCTTAAAGCCCATCCAGTTCCACTTC